ATGATAAAGCAGTATCTCTCGCTTGATCGATCACTCTGTATGTAAACAATTTCAATATAGATTGGAAAGTCACCCATTAGGGTCCCCTATATTAATAGGGTGATTCTTTCAACAGTAAACGCACTCATTAGTAGTAGAGATAAATATCAAGGTTTTTTAAAAATATTTTTTTACACAATTTGAAGTCATTATAAAAACAACATTTTTGAATAAAAAAAAAAGTATTTACTATTTTGTATTGTTATTACTTTTAGAGTCGTATATTTTAGAATGACAACATATACTATTAATCTCATAGTTGATCCGAAGCAGAATATTTTTTGTAGAATATTTATATGTATAAAAACCAAATTTAAAATTTGTAGGAATAGATAAAAGGTTATAATGTATAAGTATTTCTCGCCAAAAATAGGTCCAATTATTCAATACTCCATTCATCTAAATAGTAAATATAGGTATACTTATAAATTGTGATGTATAAAATAATAGATAGAAATTCTGTTTTTATTTTACATAATTCTCAAAACGTATTGTTATACGAAGTACCTATGAAATTAAACATGTATGATACTAATTATAATTCAAAGAAGTAAAAATTAAAAAAATGATAATGATAAAAAATATTCTACTTAATGTTTTTTTCCAAAACGTTGTTTTATATAGTTACATCAAATTATGTAATGCTAACTTTAATACTTTCCGAGATCATGATTGTTTACTGTTAAAAGAAACACCCGATATGTTGTAGTTTTTAGGTTGAAAATCAATATTTTACTAATTAATCAGGTTTTACGGAAACTATAGAGTGACCAACCACCCCTCTCCCACCCTTCAATGGGATAAACTTTAAAATAAAAAAATAGAGAAGTCTTATAAAGACTTAAAATACTAAAATGTTTAAGCTTTATTTTGTAAATGTAAACATTGTGGTAGAGCTGTCCGTATCATTATTACGTACTTAAAATGAATAATGTTTTGGAAAAAATTATACATTTATTTATTTATTTATTTATTTTATTTTATTTACACCAAACGGCAACTACAAAAAGTATATGAACAATAACAGAAGAGTTACAATATTACAATATATAGCTTAAAATTAGAATAGTTTACAAAATGCATTATTAAAATAGTAGTATGCAGACAGTTAAAAGGGGCTAATAAATATAGAATAGACTACATAGCATTATTGGCATAACGAAGCATACGGTGTAGTGGATGGTTATTATCGCAGGAGGTGGAGTGGTATGAAAGGGTGTCTTGAGGGGTAAGATGGGACACGGAAATTACTGGAGGAAAGAAGATCTGGGCCATCTATTGATCTATCTGGTAGGCCTTGAATAAAGCGGAAATCAGCATCAAAACGCCGCGCCGAGAAGAAAGCGTATGAATGTTTAATTTTAAAAGCAAGGACGAGTAGTCATGCTGAGGATGCTCGATTTTGAGTAAGAAAGAAATTTAAGATAACAACCTTTTTTAGACTCTTTCGAGTCTTACCTATATCTAAAGATCACATATATTTATAAATTATAATAGGGGTATCGTAGAATTAAATCTTATAATGCAATATAACTATTTAACTTATTTAAATAGTTATTGTATTATAAAGACAATTCTGTTTTCTACTACTAATAATGTCTTAAAAACCAAAAACGTTCACAGCGTAATATTAATTTTCAATAATTATTAGAGTGAAGCCACACGATTTAAAAATATGCAGTCGGTAAAATAATAATTAAATATTACATTTTTAGAAATAGTCATCTCTAACCATTATTGTTTTTATTACTCGTACACATGAATTGTTGTAAGATACATTTGTAGCATTCACTTGACGTAGATTCATAAGTAAAAAATAAGTATGCATATATACAACTTATGTAGACTATAAAAATAGTACTATTCGAAAAGAACAAAATTATTAATCACAATAAAATATTTATATCATACATTTCAGTGGTATTTTAAGAAAGCTACAAAAGATTCACGTGTTACATCAGATTTACAATCAAACACTCGATCGGGTCATTCATTTTTCGATTTTTTCAGCTGTTTTTAAAAACGTTCGGAACCAATCAAATTAAACAAAGAATTTTAACTCTCTGTAACGTAATAATAATATGTCATGGTTTGGATGAAATAAATATTAATGCATTCAAATTCCTACGTCAAATCCATTGCATTACAGATACTTTCGTAGCTATCGGACGAATAAAGCTAACCCAGCTCAGTGGTCCACCAAACTTCTATCCATCAATATTGTTCAGTATATTATAATATGTAATAATTTCATTACAATATAATATTATATCATTTCAAAATAACTGCTTGTTCGTTCACACGATGTTTAGCAGATGTCATAGTTTTTAACGAGTATCGTAAATTATTATCGTTGTACTAGTTGGATTTAATCCAAGAAAACGAAGATTCTTGTTTAGTTATATTAAAAACGTTCAAAATATAACTACTATCACCTGTGCGGACTTATTTTGTACTTCAAGTATATTATAAGGAAAGAACTCACTTTTACTTAAACCCAAACAAACTGACCCTCGCTGAACCACGAGGCCAGGCATCGCCGTCAGTAGCCATACATTTGCTCCGAGCGTCTAAATCTCCAAAATCGAAATTCTAAATATTAATTTATGAACTTGACTACTTATGATAACTACTACCTACTGCGGGAACAATATACTTAAGACTGGGGCGAACGATCAATGTAAAATAATATATTAGAATGTTTGCCTAGAAAAGTGCAAACTTGTACACATTAAAATGATGATATTTAATAAAATGATTTAATTTACGCAATATAGGCTTTTAATCAATCTGAAATAAATATTCAAAACAAAATGTTCCCTTCTATTTAGTAGGTTTTCTAGAGAACTATATTGTCATTGAGTAGGTCACTGCTAAATTTGAATTCAATGATAAATCAATTGAACGGAGACATTGCTTCTTCTATTTCTAAGGTTATATTTGTATGATATATTTATATTTCTAAAATCTATTTATTTTTATTACAAATAATACTGTAGGTTGAACTAGAACTAGTTTTTAAAATAATCATAATATAATATCAAAGAAAATTATTATTATGAACTAACTTAGGTATCAATACCGACCACATGCTTATAATAGAATAAATAGTTTAAAATTAGTTTACCATTTATACATTTTTAAAATGTCATTGTTTATATAAAATAATATGGAGAAAATTTAATCAAGTCTTAACAATTAATAATTTTTGAATTACAATAAAATAACTATAATTGTAATTTATTTAAAATATTTGTACAAAAATAATTGAGATTTTGCATTTTCAATATTTTTAATTATTACAACAAAAAGGTATAAAGGATTTTGTAAACATTTTCAAGATTGTTTAGTTTTTGACATAGAAACCGAAATGTTATCATACATAAATCGAAAAAACAACTAAGCAAAGTCGACAATTTCAAATAAGTATTTATAAATAGCACAAAACGAGCCAAGGTATTTTGAAAATGTTATCATATCAAGAAAGTATACTTAATATTTTTGACATTCTCATATAACTTATTGATTTTTTAATTACCTACGACAAAATACAATAATCAATTTTATCGAAAACTATTGCTACTAATTCCGGATTTTTTTGAAAAGAGTACTGTGAATTTTTATTTTAAACACCCAAAGTATCAACTAGGTATATTTAATTTGTTACCAGTAACCACACTCAAAGAAAAATATTTGCTCCTAAACAAGAAGACACAAACAAAAATAAGACCACATAATTGTATAACCTATACATTAATCGCTCCGTCCCGTCCCTCCGTCCATATATAATTAAAAATAGAAAGTGTTATCCTTAAATAAATAGTATAGTAGTTATCATTTATTTCATTGGTATTATTATTATTGATAACCACTACCTTTAAAAACAAATAGTATTGTTATTTATTTATTTGTTATCTTTTTCACGAGTTTTATATTATTTTAACGACTACAGTTAGTTGTGTAATTAAAATAAAGAACGCTATTCTAGTCTATTATAATGTCTAAATTAACAAGTTAATGTAGGTACAAGTCTGTACTTCGACGAGGATGATTAGAAAAATAATTAAACGTTCAATTTACAGCAAACGTAAACGTATTTCATTTGATAATATCATAATATTTTTACCACAATTTCAATGTAATTTTATTTTAAACGTATTACGTTATATTATTAGATTCGTTGTATGTCTGTACGTTTTTTATAGTTCACATACGAAATATGAAAGCATTAAACAAGTAAATCAAATGACAAATTTATATAACATAATAAGTATATAATAATATGAAAAAGAAGGACGATTTTTGAACAGAAATTGAGCAACGAAAACTTACGAAACGAATTTACACATCAATTGCTCATCGATTGACACACATTCTCACACACACTTTTGAATACTAACTCATTTGTGGTTTGAATTTTTCCATTTTTTTTTTTCAAATACTACTAATCAAATAGCTATTGATCGAATTTCGTGGAATTAAATTTCAGTAGACAATATTACACTATTGTAGGCTGATACAAGCTGTACCCTACGGAATTCAAGACATGGTATGTATAAATATTAAATACAAATAGGTACAATGTACATAGAATATAATATATTATAACATGACGTTATAAATGGGAAATAATTGTTTGAATTTTTTTTCCCCGCCAAAACATGCCGCACTCGGAGACCGGAGTGTATCGTTTTCATCGCGTCCAGGAATTTATTTTTAATAACATATACCAGTTACCCAGGCAGTACACTTATCTAATGCGTCCAACCCACTAGGTGGTTACAATTACTGCTGCTGACCGCATACATGATGATGATAATAACAGTCTCTCGAGTAGTAGTCTCGTAATAATAATCATACATTATACGTCCTAATAATAGAGGTAGGTACTGCGGTTGGTCGATAAATGTATTATTTTCATAATATTATATAATATTATACACCTATCATCGGCTACTTACCAAATATAATTTGTTGCATTTCATTTGCGCGCGCAAACGTCTGACGGCGCGAATCCGATTTTCAGACGGTCAGCGGTCGGCGCTGACGATTTTCTTTTTCGTTCAGCGTGTGCAACAGGTTAGTGTACCCGACAATGTGTCGTACGATTTTTCGCCGAGTCGGACAAACGCTATCCAGTCGGCGATTGGTATGTTATGCGGACACACGACCGCCGTCGGCGACGACGGATGGAACAGCTGGCTATTACGCGAGCAACCACCGTCGTTATGTATTATTACTATAATAATATGTAATTTTATTGATATTATTACACCGCGGTACCGGTAGTCGGTAGGTATTCGGTAACAACGTCGCGTACTACGGACGATGAATTCGTGTCGAAAGTGAAACAACGACAGGTCGACGGATTAAAATTGCGAGAAAATCGCGGGAAAAAAATTCGACCTAAGAGAAAGACTGTAAGCGGCGGCGGCGGCGGGACGGTAACGAAAACGAAAATCTTGTCGAGCGATTATAACGACCGTCGTAATGCCATATAATTATAATATGAGCGCGATATTTATGATAATATTATACTCGTATCGAAAATATATTACAACGAAAAACATTCAACACCTATCTCGACATCGATTATATTTCGCGATGTGGTTATCTCGGACGGACACAGCGGCGGCACACGTGCTGAGGAGAGTCGTCGGATCGATTGCGATAGAACGTTTCCTGCTGCTGTAGGTATAGTGTGCTCGCGACGTGAAATTCGACGCAACGATACGACTATTGAGGCGATAATGTGGATCGGAGCGAACGGCGAATGTCGGAGGAGTTTTCATTGAACCTTTAGCCGACCGACTGAATCCGGTGTTGACGACGAAATTTCGAACTGCGGTCACACGTCGCGGTGGCAATGCATGCCAATGCATTTTGACCTTCGTCAAATGGCCGGGAGAGAGGGACCGCTGCAGATATTACTATTATAGGTACCGCTGCCTCTATCCAGTATATTAGGTACGTTATTGGCTCTTTTGATTCCATGTAGATACGCCAGCTGCACACTGCCATATTATCATAACAATTAATATTGTTGTCGTTATATTTATAAACACAATAATTTCGTTTTTCTCGTGCCGAATCGACGATAATCATATCATTATGGTGACCGGTGGTCGTCGATGGCCCGATCAACAAACGGTCCGCGACTGCAGAACGCGCGCGCACGTGTACCTGTGCAGTACCTAATATAAATTTCAGTGGGGCAGATAAAAAAAAAAAATAATGTTCTATAAAATTGTCAGCGTCTGCTATCGCGTATGTGTGTTTGTATAATAATTATTATTGCGCTGGACGCCGTGACAGATAAGAATAATAATGAAATAACAATTTATTTCGTTTGCCCGTCGTACAACAGGTATTATTATTATTATTATCCGATTCAGGACTATAATAACAATAATGTGACGGGGATAGATAGGCCCATCGACGTCACCGCCGTGTCCGGGCCGAAACGCGTGCCACTGTTTTATAATACATATACCTACTGACATACTTGTTGAAAACAAGCGTACTTTTTAAGTATTTTCTAAATAATTGTTAAAATACTTTTAGTTACTTACTCGTCAGAACCGAATTTTTATCAAGGTGACATTCCTTTAATTTTTTTTGTTCATATACACATTTTTGTAATCATATTGAGTGGATACCTTCAACGGATAAATTTCCATTATATTATACATAGATTTACCTGAGCAATATTATGCTTGGTATTTTTAGTTTTTTATTATATTTTGTATTTTAAATTAGTATACTAGTAACCAACTATTGATTAAGCATTAAAATACTTGACAACTGACTACCATCAGTTTGGTACTATTATAAATTATATTATCATCACGAGTACAAACGTTACCGGAACCGATAGATAGATTTTTGGAGCCGTTCGTCCCAATTTATAGTGTGTGATATAATATTATAATTTATAATATATGCGAGAACGGTAGGTGTATATTCGTACAATGGGAAACGTATATTATTATTATTATTACTATTATTACATAGGTGCATCGCTAGTATAAAATACTATTTACGAACATAATATGACTAGACCGGCCATGGACCTCTGTCGTGTGTGTATTATACAAAACGTTGAGTTGAGTTAAGTATAATGTTAACGTAAAGTTATAACTCAGACTTACAACTTATAAGCTACAGAACATTGTTAACTACAATTATGTAATTTCAAACATTTAAAAAAAAAAATTCATACTTAACTCAGTTAAAAAAGTTGATTTGCAGCTTGTGCCTAGCTTATTCATATTTTAATCTCTGCCTGGTTCATTCACATGTAGTGAATGACTGCTTGTGCAACATTAAAAGTTTTTTAATAACAACCAACCATTTTAAAAAATATAAAATAATTTTATATTTTAGGACGTTGTATATTATGTATAGAGCGTGATTACACAACAAAGATATAGTGGTTATAGCGATGACTATTAACCAATTTTAAAGCTATAATAGGTAGGTATATTGTATTTTAAATCAGCCTGGGAAAAATTAATCAATTACAACAATAGTCAATTAAACCGTAGTTAAATTATTAGTTTATTAAAAAAAAACTAACCAATTAGTCCTTTTAACTAGTTAATACCCCCCCCCCCCCACACACACACCTTTGGTTAAGCTATTATTGTGTAGGTTTAGGAACGTGCCATGTTAATGTTAATACCACGCACTGGAAACATATCATAATAATAATATATAATATTGTAACTTGCGTAACAGCATAATATATAATAAAAAATATCGGTACTGTTGATTTTTTATCGAAAAATGAAATGCAAATCCCGACGACTCGCCACGTTACAAAACGCGTCAGCAGGTATCGCAATTAATAATAATAATCACGTACCTACGTGGAATAGCCAATAGGTATATATGTACATATATATATATAGGTTATAGGTATAACCACGCGTGGTTATATAGGTATTAGGTACATCTGCGACTCCGATGACGACTGACGATTTACGGCCGCACATAAACCGCAATATTATATATTATTATGTCATGATTTACTCATAGTTTTCATCGATACGATATTTAAAATATGATCGACGAAGACGTCGAGGACCTCCGTGCAATGATTGCGATGACTGATGATGACCGGTCGTCCGACATAAACATAATACACGATACACATAATATTATTATATTAATAATGGTTTTAACTTTTCAAGATTTCGTAAAACGTTTCGTTTTGACGAATAATCAAATACCTAATTTAAATTTTAAACTAAATTGCATACTTTTGCATACTTCGAGTCAACATTCTGTGATACAAACGATATTATATGAATCACTGCAGTATTTGTTATGTTTATGCAACTTAATCAAGGCATTATAGTATAATAGACGACATAAACAAATAGTGAAAATATAATATTGTGTACTGGCGTGAAGTCTAGGTTTTAAGATTTCGTAAAATATTTCGTTTTGAAGAATAATAAAATACCTAATTTAAATTTGAAAATAAATTTCATACTTTAATCATATAGGTATAATACTTACTCAAGTCAACACTACATTCTGTGATACAAGATATTATACAAGTTACTGCAGTATTTACATGTTTATGGTTTATGCAACTTGATTAAGTCAAACATTTGAACAAATAGTCAAAAAAGATTGTGTAGACGTGCAGTCTAGTAGTGTAAGTGTTTATTTCTGTAAAATTGGACCATTTTGTTTTTATCATAATATTACAAAACAGATTAAACATCAAATTAGTTAAGTATAATAATTAGCCGTATAGGTAGCAACTGAAAATGGCGATTTTATGGAGTTAGTTTAATTTCTTTTTTTTTTTCATTGGAAAAAACGTTTATTATGAGTTAGTAAGTAAATTTGAGAAAAGATATAAAATTATTGGTAGTGAAATGGTTTGTAGGAAGACTCTCGACTGAGTAACCTTGACATGGAACTTGAATTAATATTATATTATATTCAAGATTTATTACTTTACACAATTACACAGCAAAATCACATTCTTATATTGCGTGATTTCGATTTTTATGACGTACCTATTTCTAATTTCTAAAAATAATTTTATGTATTTATTCTATAACTATAAAATACATGAAACAGAGATAATTATATTTTTTTAAGCCTACAACTATTATTTGGAATTGTTTTTGGCAATAAAATCAAATGTTTAAGAAAAAATATTATTTTATTGTAATTTTAAGGTATTTATTTTACTGTCTCTACTGTATACACACAAAATGAAATATTTCCTTTAAAAATTACTATTACTTACTCACTCATTGTATAGGTATTCAAATCACATAGTTTATAATATATTAATATTTAATATGTAGGTATTCGTGTATGTCGTATGATGTGTACTAATTAAACAAATATTATTTCGATAATATAGGTAGGTACCTACTTAATTTACTTAATGTAATAACTCTAAAAGACCTAAGTACAAATTTTTGAATTTGGTTATTAGATCACGGTAATAAACAATATAGTATAATGGTGATTATTAAAAATTAAATATGTTAAACAATAAATGATAAGTAAACACATACATTTCATACTCACAAAGAAATGCAAAATTAATATTTCACTCATAAGTCATAACCCAACTATCATAATCATAATAAGTATGTATTATTTCATACGATTTGTGGAAGTAGCGAAAAGTGAAATGAATAATCTACATATAATTTAAAATAAATGTTCACTAATTGAAATTATTAATGAAACGTAATATTATCAAAAAATAAATACATTTAAAATAATTTTATCCAATCATATTATTTCAAATACATTATTTGGAATACAAAATAAGCATTAAATACAACACAAGTACTTAGCATTTACACTATAAGGAGGTACTTTTATAAACTAATTTTTGTATATTAAATTTATTAATAAATGGTATAGACTAAATTACTTGACATGGTCAATGTTTGGGATTAGAGATTGCAATATTTTGATACTAGTTTTCTAATGCCTTCATTACCTTAAAGACTTAAATTTGTTTTACATTGACAACACATATTTTCTTTGTATACCTATAATAAGGTTATACTATAATATACTATATATTTATAACAAATATATAGGTATAATGAAATCATTAATACGCCAGTTACAAATAATTTCGGTTAAAATCGTTCAACTTCTCTGACATTTTCTAATTTAAATAAAAAAAATATTTTAATATTTTCGTACAACAGGTAGGTTGGATGTTAATGAAATGTTTTAATGCATTTTATAAAATAACCTACGTAGCTTGAGTAGTCGAGTAAGACTCTACATTATAAGAAATTGCGTAATATATTCGTTACTATAAAAAAATTTTTGTTTACAAAATATGTTCATTTTCTGATAAGACCTGTTGTACTATGCTGCTGTTCTTACCGACAAACATATTCTGATGATTAGTAGACAAGCGATTTAAAAATTCCTAGTGGCACGTAATTTTTTTATAAAGTTACTGTGGTCTTATTGTTATACTCTATGATTATAATGTTAAATATTTCAAACGTCTACTTGTAGAAAAACAATACAGCATATGTATATAATATTATGGTTGTCTTTCACAATAACAGGTATAATTTTATCCCAAAAATAAACTCGATGACTCTCACTGAACATCACATTAATTTGTCACTAGGTAGATATTAATTTATATTTTATGTGAAATGTAATAGGTAAGTGAAATAAGAGCTTATTTTTTTTAACCACACACGTATATAAAGTATGCCAAAATTACGATACCTATATTATAATATTAAATTATATTACACTTTATTGTGGACATAGTGTGACCTTTCGTCCAATTTATAACTATATCATCCTTTTTTTGTGCATCATGTCCCCTAGTCCCTATAAACTTCGAACTCTACGCTTT